ACCTTGTAAGTCGATTGCTTTTTAAGCATCACCATCAACCTCATGGTCACCATACACAACATTCATAGATTACTCTTGAGATTTCTTACAATGAGACTTATTCGATCAATTATTTCTAGTTGTTCGTTTAAAAGACTAGTCCACTTTGCTAGTATATGCGTAATTTAAACTTGATTCCATTGCTTTACCGCTTTCCTTTATTGTACTTGCTTGTTTATATTTTGTCTTGCATGATGAATAAAATCCAAACCCAAGCATTCTTGATCCATATATCAAGTCATGTCCCATTTTTGTAAGTCGACCGCTTTATGCATTGCCATCAACCTTTCTCGTTTCTATTTCAAACCTTTTTCAACTCAACCCGCGATAAAACCCTTGATTCAACATCAAGTGACATTTTCTTGAATAAACTTTCAAAACACAATAAAAGATTATTAGGGTTGCATTCCACGAGCCTTAAGTGGTGGAGAAAGGGTGAGAATGGAGCTTCCCTACACTCACTCTGATTATTTTAACACATGACGCTCGACTTGGTTGCTTGAAATAATCACCACTACCCATAGTCTTTAGCGCAATCCAAATCAAGAACAATCTTCTCAAAACCCTAAAAAACAACTTCAACACATCAAACTTGTCTTTTCTTGCCCCTGTGCGATTGAAATCTCCTCAAGACACTAATTCATTGCCCTCGTGCAATTCATAACTCAAACAACTTTTCTCAAAGAACCTTGTTTAGTCTCTTCTTTCGCGCATATAAACCAGTGTTTCAGCCTCCCCTAGCGAGCAGACAAGCCAACGTTTAGCAGTTAGAATGCAACCTAAACACTCGTTCATTAAAAGACACCCACCAACCATAGTCTTCTGAACTACGATTTCTATGACTTCCTCATTGCACTATGAGGGTACGTAGACATAGGATTGTAAGATCCTAGAGAGCTACTTTTTTCTTTTTACTAAAAACCTTTTTCCCATAGTCCTCCGAACTACAGACGCTCTAATTCTTTATTTCACAATGAAGGTACGTAGGCACAAGGGCCCAAATCCTTGGCAAGCACTCTTGTAAATAAACCACCCTTTGTATATAACCTCCCTTTTACCTTTAGCGGTTTCCTTTCTCTTTAGCTCTTTTTATCATTCGAAGAAAGTAAATAAACATGTGGTAACATCCAATCTCAAATTTATCTAAGAGGTTCTCGTTGAGTACAATGGACGTGAGGGGTTCTAATACATTTTCTTATCTTTAAAGGTTTTATCGATATTTTCATATTCCTTCTTGGAATGAATAAAGTTCAGTGGCGACTTTGTTCGAACAAATGTTTTCCGCATTCATCACGAAGGATCGTATTTTTCGAGGTACGACAAATAGCCTGGGAAAAAGCATGTGAGTTTTGTAACTTGCAACCTCTTCGTGGGATAAGGCCCTAAAAAGGCACAGAGTTTATTGGATAGAGAGTAAGGGATTAGCATTTATCTTACCCAGATAGCAATCTTATCATTTTCAAGTGGAGGCTCATGGAGAAAATCTTTTGATTCCTCACTCTTGTTGGATGGAATGGTGAAGGCCTGTGGGTTGTTCCCGATGTTGGTTTTAAAAGGCATTATTTGACTGTTGATCATGGTTAAAGATGGAAGTTTTTGGAATAAACTAAAAAAGTTTTGGGTTTCTGCGTGAAAGAGAGAGTATGAGAAAGAAGAAATAAAGAAGAATAACAAAGGAGCTGGGAGAGGGTATTTATAAGCTTTGACAGCATGTACTAAATGGAACACATGGCGCCTGCATGAGAGTGACTGAAGTGTTTCGTGGGTTTTTGAAGCAAATCATTAATGTGAGTTGGAGCAATTATGGTTGACGTGCAAACCCACGATCTTCTATGAAGTAGGAGTAATGATGAGATTATGGGCGAATCTCATAGAAAATAACAATGCACTGTATAAGGGTAATGATGACGATGACGTTAGCGAAAGTGAAACGGAATCGGAAAATACAATCAAAAAGGCCACGTCTCTCTTGTTTGTTGAAAATTGAAACATGTCCTTTTGGGGACAATTTGTTACCTTGTATTTTTCGGCTTAACTATATGTGGCAAGCATTAATGAGAGTAACGATAAATATGCCACGTGGAAAGGAAAAATATAATGAAGCCACATGAAAATCAGGATAACTCGGGTCAGAGGTCAGGCAAAGTGATATCGGTCGATGATGGTAGAGTCGGAGGACTTTGTGAGAAGTTTGGGGAGTTAGTGAAATTGAGTATTATGCTATATTGACTAAGGTTGGAGTTCATAACTACAATGTAAACAATGTCGACTTGGACATTACATGTGGAAAGTACTACAGAGTGCGTTTTCGTAGTATGGTCGATTTAAAAGACATTGATGTGGTTAGTCAATTCCTGGTGACCAGTAAAAGTAGTTAAGATATTTGAATGGTGCTAAAAAGCGAGATCTGGTTTAACACAAATGGATAATTAGAAGCATGTGGGAGTTCGTCGGGGGGAACCGCTGCATGGATTTGAGACGTGTCACAATAGGGTTAGTCAACTGTTCTTAGGCAGTTATTTTATAGTAGTATATAAGGGAACTTATGTCCATAATGTAGGGGGTCCGTAATTGTACACACATTTCTGCAAATTCAAAATATCTGTGTGTTGAGAAACGAGTGAGGAAAGATGTACGTATGCGTTTCACCATTTATACACTTCAAGCATGGTTACATTTAAGTACCTTTATGCATTAAATTACCTTTTTGGTTGCCTTTACTATTCCTGTCATTTTATATTACTTGCATTTTGATTTTTAGCCTTTTCACCATTAAAACTTTTCTTTACTTCAAGTATCATTTAAAAAATCACAGTAAACACTTTAAAGAAGTGCATTTCAATTTCGACGGTAAAATGATTTTTAAAGTCATAAGCGCACACAAATATGTTCAGAGAGATTTTCGAGTTTGATCCCTTAAATATTAGTAGAAACTTGTATATGTTTACCAAATTTCACAGTAAACAGGATAGAGTACTATAATACCCGTTCATATACTCGCAGTTTAAAAAAAGAGAATTTCTTATTGCACACTATATACTTCTAACATACCATGTGAATTTTATTATATGCCCCTTGATTCTGGAGATACATCTTCGGAAGCACCCTATTTCTGAATAATCGTTGACATACTCCGAAAATACATCTCCGGACGCACCCTATTTCTGAATAATCGTTGACATATTCCAGAGATATATCTCTGAAACCATTTTAAACATTCATAACATGTCACCAGAAGCAATTTACATTTGAATTGTTCCGGGGATGCATCTCTGATAATATTTTAGAGATAAATCATTGAACTATATTTGAACATGTATTTTTTACTATAATTTGTGTATTTGTTTTCAGATGAAGTATGAAGCACGATCTCGAATAAAAAAATGGACGTACAAAATAAGAGACTAATATTAAGTGTGTCAAAAATAATATAGCAATATAATAGAAATATATCGTCCAGAACGAGATCCAAAAATCTAGTAACAATGTAAAAAATAAAGTACAAACTATAGTATTACAACAAAATAATAACAGACAACTAATGGGTGTGGGTGTGTCTGACAACCTCTCCACTACTTCCTCTGCCTGGACTGCCTCCTCAGACAAGAATCCCTCCGTCCTCCGACGATGTCTTTGGTACAATAGTATCTCATGTGCCTCCGCCACCATGGCATCCAGGACTTGCCTGACATCAGAACCCTTAGAAAAAATATTCTCGTCTGCCTCCAGAATCTCTACTATGCAACGACACCGAAGAAAAAAAAACTATCAGTATTATCTAGCTAAGCTTGCTCCTCGTGCGCGCGCTTTTAACATAAAAAAATGTGATAGTAACTTTAATTTATTTAAATGCTAAAACACAATTGTTTGTCTATAATTACACACGTCAAACAATTATCTTATGAATTGATCAAATGGTTAAAGATTAAAATATTTGATGCAGTCATGCATTCTCAACCAAGAAACTAAAATCATAATTTACTTCTTAACTAAGTAAAGTAAAAAAATACAAGGCCAGTATAAGCTATCTGATCTTCAATTGACAGACCATATCAATAGTAGCGCGAATACACAAGAATCAATATCTGTCATTCGTACTTTCTCTCTCAATGTACTAAACAAGATAGGAGTTATTGTAATTTAAGTCATTTTTCTTTTCTAGCATAACAATGTAAAAGAGAAACTAACTCTAAACATGCATATACAGTTTATAAAATAGTAGAAGTCAATCCAATGCTAATAATCAAAGGAAATGTTTATTAATATGTATATGTACAACATAGTATATGCATTAAACTGAGCCTGAGCCGGAGCCGATGCCTGCTAGTTCCGAGGAATGCTCCAAGAAGTTTTTAACTTTATTAGTTCAATAAATACATACATTACACTCTACAAGGATTCAACAGTAACAACATTCTAAATAATCAAACATATACTGATCAAAGTTGAGACCATGTAGTGTGAGAAGGTTAATTCCAGAACCATCACCAGTGCTACATCTGCAGAAATCTCCATTTGCTTGCATAACCCTTCTCAAAATCCAAACCGTGTGGTTTAATGTTTCCTCGCTTTATTTTGGACTTCTAGTTGAGCTTAGGCTGCACCATGAAAATGCTACACAATTAGTGTTTAGCATGGCATGACTTAAAGGAAATGGAGGTCATGAGATCAAGCCCTGACAAAACAGAAAAAAATAATACTAACTACTAACAATTTGTCATTAAAAAAAGAGCTTAGCATGGTATTACTATAACATGTAAATATGTACAATCACGTGATATGTAATGCAACATTCTGATCAGAAAAATCATATGATCACCTAAAACTTCAGATCAACTTCCTATGGTGCCCTTCAGCATTGATTTCTGCTAGTATAATGTCAACAAACAAAGGCAAAGCAAACAGTAAATTTCTAAGCTAAAAGAACAGGCCGCCTCACCAGAGCAACTGGCTGAACTAAGTTATGGTTCATCCTCATCTTCAGAATGAGCTAAATGTTCTGGAAGCGTCATAACCTTCACTTTTACTGGTCCCTCCATCCCTTCTGGGATATTCAACTCCACACCACTATCCCCACCATGAACATTCCCTGAAGTCACAAAGACAAGCAAACAAAACAGTTTGAGCTCATAGATCATTATATTTTCCCTGACCTCAAAAAATTCAGTGTCTCGCTCATTGTTTAATTTTCCTCAAAGATATGTATGCATTATATCACCTATTATTTAATTTTGCAGTCGACATATGTCAAATAATTAGTCTTACAGTCAATTAGATCAGCAAACTTTTTTTTTCCGACAGCTGCCATTGGAGAGCGCACATGCTGATCCATCCCATCATAGGTATACAACTCAAAAAAGGGAAGGAGCATAAACCACAAATCACATTATTTTCAGATTCCAAGTTTCATGTTTTCCTCATAAATATGACCCAACCATACCCTGCCAACTAATCAAAACTTAATCCTAAGCTAATTGCAGTGACTAACGTGAGCATTTTCCATTCAACTGAGATTTAGACATGATGCATACATGCCAGTGGCGCCGTTATAGCGGATTATGGCGGAAAAAATCGCAATATCAGCTGATATTTACCATTGCGGCACCTCCATGTATATCCGCTATAGCGGCCATGGCGCCACTATTTGATAACATTGATATATGCATATCCCTTTTCACTGCCACTGCACCAGGAAATTTTTAACAGAATTTTAAAAAGGGAATAAACAAGTTTAAGTGAGATAAATTGCTATCAAGATACGCCATTTGTAAAGTTGATTATTGCAATTAGAGGTAGAACCAGTTTGTGTGGTGGTGTCTTTTAAACCCAAGAAGCAAAAGTCCGAATATTTTGAGAGAATTAGATAAGTTTCTTAAAAATACAAACAACCTCCTCTCTCCAACAAAAAAGAAGAGTTCTTAAAGCTTTTCTGAAAAACAAAAAGAGCAACAATATCCCTTTGCTAAATACAAAGGTTAGCTCTTTTAGCAAAGATTTTATCATAGAAGAAAAGTTCTATCAAGTGCTTAACACCCAATAGCTTATGTTTCTAACAGAACCATCATCAATGCCATCACCCTCCCAATTCAATTTCATTGATTCAGAACGATGAATCAAACACCAAACAGAAAATCAATTTAATTAAGCATAAAATTATCTAACAATTAATTCTCTAAACAATAGTATCAACAAATCCTTATTCCCTAAACAACATCATAATCATCTATCATATCTATCAAAAATCTATAGCCAAACCCTTAATTACTAAGAGGAAAAAATGAATTTTGCAAAATCCCAATTCGTCCTTTTAACCCTAATTCCACCAAAAATCCCCAAATCCAATACCATAAAAACCCGTTTCAAATTCAATTAACTTAAAATTAAAGCAAAAATATCTCCATCCATGACACATTCAATCAAAAAAGTAAATTAATTTGTACACAAAATTAGGGAAAAGGGAAAAGGGTAGCTACCTTTAATGAAGTAATTGGAGGAAGGCCAACCGCGAAGAGAAGAAAGCGAAAGCGACTCATCATTCATAAAAGGCTGTTGCTTTTCCCCATCAGTAAGCTTATGAACCAAATGAACAACATTAGAAGGAGTAGGTCGTGGCGGGACCCAAAAAGAAGATCCAGGAACAAAAGGCAACCAATCTGGCGTAGCTTTTTTCACCAGAATTCGGTGGATCAAATCATCAAACAGCTTCAGTGTCATCTCGTGTTCACCCTCCGATGATAATGATGTGGACGATGTATCGATTTCCAATAACTGGGGTTTCGTGGCGGCGCGTGATGAGCGGTAGCGGAGTGACGACGCCATGAAACTGGATGGATTGGGGAGCTTTGAGGGAATGAGGGTTTTGGATTTTGAGATGAAACCGGCCATTTTGATAGATGACGACGGTTTGGGTGGGATGGGTTTGGTGGTGTGGGAGAGAAAATGATGAGAGAGAGGGGAGAGAGGAGAGGTATTTAAGATTGATGAGAGAGAAACAGAAAAGGGCCAAAAACTGTGGGTTGGTTTCGGTGTACGGATTAAAATAGGCTAACCGATAACTAAAGTTAATTATGTTTCTTTATTTTTTGTTGAAATATAAATGAATGAAGTGTAACGAAAATAAAAACTATAAATGAATTTTCGTTAAACAAACAAATATAGATGAATGAATAAATATTTTTAATAAAGGTTTATTTATTTTTCACGAACTTAATCTTTATATCTAACTTTAATCAATTTTAATTATCTCTCATATATTTTGTATTTAAAATTGATTATGTGTGCAATTTTAATAAAGTGTTACATGTAAAATATACATGACATTATTTAGAAACATGTTATTAAAAAAATAGATGTATAGATAATTTTGAGTGTACAAATATGGAGAGAACGACAAAAATTCTTGATGGTTAAAATAAATAGATAAAAACTAGTTTGGTAAATGAGTAAAACTAGAGTCAAAAAATTATAATTAAAACTTTAATAAATAATTTAAAATACAAAATTTTCAATCTAAAAAAATACTAAATTTTTAAAAAGTAATCTAATTAGTTTAGATATCTATAGAATCTATTAAAAGAAATAAATTAATAATTTTAACTATTTTAAAAAATATATTTTAATTTTTTAAAGTTGTTAATTTATAAATATCAATAATTTATTTGCTTGCTAATTAAATTTTAGATTAATAAATCAATTTAATTAAATTAACACATGTCTATTCCAATTAATTTTATTATTATATATATATATATATATATATATATATATATATATATATATATATATATATATATTATTTAATTAATTATTTTTCCCAAAATTTCTTTCACGTGGTTTTTTCCTTTATATATAAATTATTATTATTATTATTATTATTATTATTATTATTTAATTCCCCCCATAATTCCTCTCCCGTGGTTTTTCAGTATCCACCCACCTCTCCTCCGATAAAAATTTCACAGCAATTTTCCGTTCAAATTGTTCACCAATTAATAAAAACAAAAAAAATTAATAATAATTAATCATCGTACTTAATTCTTATAGGCATCTTTTAAAAATTCCCACCAAATACTATATTTATTAATCTTATTAAGTAATATGTCTTTAAAATAATATTTCATAATTATAATTATAATTAGTTCCTTCCACGATTCCTCTCATATGGTTTATTCCTTTAAATCAATTTAATTAATTAATTAAAATAAAGCAATAAATAAAAAAAATCCCTATAACCAACGCATAACATTTAGTGGGAAGTTATAATGTTACTTGGTGGGATAGTGTAACTAAAACCAGTAACTCAAGTTCGTGTTAATTCCACTAACCGATAGGATGTGTTTGTTTTAAGTTACGAAATAATATTTCTGTATTTTTATCATTATTATTTTTTGAAATAATATTTTTATGGGTAAAAACTAAAATTTTTAAAAATATTTATAATATTTATTTAATATAAAAATTAAAATAAATAAATAAATATAATTAGTAGTGGGGAGTTGCGGTTAATTAAATTTTATTCCCATAAAAATGTTGGATTTCCACCCATCACACTTTAGAATAAAAATAGACAAATCATGTATAAATAAAGTTCTTAGAAATAAAATATGCTTTCTAATAATTTTTAAAAAATTGAATCAACATGGAATGTTGTATTTTCAATTTTTCATAATTATATTCTTAAAAGAGATTAATTGTTATGTATGGTTAGTGTAAAAAAATTTATAATATTAATACATCACTATCATCCGTTAGTATTATTTTTTAGATAATTAAAATAAAAGTTAAATATTATAAATAAAATACAATTCTAATTAACTGACAATGTAAAAAGAAATTTATATTATCTGTATATGTCAATTAATTTCTTCTCAAAAATATTTTTTACAAAGATGAAACAAACACACCTATAATACCTATAATATGTAGCAACTATCTTTATCCGTCAAAATTCAATTAGCTATATCTATAACAATATATAAAAGCAATAGATTGTTTTGGTGTAGCTTTTTGTTTTCCAATTTTGTCCAATAATTCACACTATTATTCTATTAACACCCTTTACTAAAATCAACTACATAGGCGGTTAAAAAACTTCTATCAAAATAATAACTTCTCATTCTCATTTAACCCATTTATTTAAGAATTTATTTAAGAAGAAAGAGAGAAAGAAAAGAGAACTAAGATAACGAAAACAAAACATTCATCAAGAACAAAAGAGAAAAGAGAGAAGGAAGTCGAGATAAATGGTGGACATGAAGATATTGATATTTGGTATGTTTGTAACAATTTCTCTAATTTTCTCTAATTTAACTTTAATTTTCTTTAATTCTGATTTCTTTTATTTAAAGGTTATCTCATGTAATTTGGGAAAAATACACGGAGTTGTTCAATTGCGTGAAATTAGAAGAATTTGGTGCTTTCCGTTGTTCAATTGCGTGAAGTTAGAAGAATTTGGTGCTTTCCGTTGTTGAATTGCGTGAAGTTAGAAGAATTGAGTGCTGTAAGGTTAAATTATATATTTCATCTAAACTCATTGACCATCTAAATCCTTAATACATTAATAGAAATCACTTTCTTAAAATAACTGTCGTTACCCATTAACACTTATATAAAATTTTGTTTGTTTAATAAATAAGTAACTTATGGATTTTTATCTGTAATCCATATTTCAAGTAGTGATTCTCTCTCAATTTTTTTCTTTCTTTTTTATAATTTGTTTTCTCTTCTCAATTTACAGTTATTTAATAATTCTTAGTTACATTGTTTTATACCGCAGATATTGAAGCATCATAAAAAACATTCTCAGAATAAATAAAAAAATTGTGGGAGAAATTATCTCTGTAATCCATATTTCAAGTAGTGATTCTCTCTCAATTTTTTTCTTTCTTTTTTATAATTTGTTTTATCTTCTCAATTTACAGTTATTTAATAATTCTTAGTTACATTGTTTTATACCGCAGATATTGAAGCATCATAAAAAACATTCTCAGAATAAATAAAAAAATTATGGGAAAAATTATCTATAGAAAAGATAGATGAGAAGATGAATACAAATATCTGATTCTTTAATTTTAATGGATTTTTCTCTTTTTCTCTCATGAAAATATATAGTTTATATAATAATAATTTATAGATTCACAAAATACATGTATAAAATTCTATTATTGTTGTTTTTACGATTCTTACTTTTTTATCATCTAATGTTATATATCATTTTACTTTTTTCTAATTTTATTCATGTTATTTTATAAATATTAATAAAATAATTATAACTCAATTTTATTAATCTCAACTTCTACTAACACTTAAAATTGAATACACACGTTCATCTGTCCTTCACATTCGTTGAGCCAAAATATTTATTAATAAATGTAACCACTAACTCTAACACTCAAAATTATTGAATAAACTTTTTATTAATTAATTAATAATAAATTAAAAACAAAAACGGGGTAATCCCATAAATTTTTGATACTTACTAAATTAAAATAAAACAAAACCTGCATTGTTGATCACGTTGGTTTTGCTGATACAATAGCCATATTACAAATTTAAACAGTTGGTTAATAGCCATATTACAATGGATAATTGCATGTGATAATTTTTCTGGCAATTACAACGAAATGATAACCAAGTATAATCATCTTGCTTACAATTTTTTTTTTATTACTTAAAATTAATAAAAAAATCTTTAGAAAAAGTTTATGCTTCTTAATATTATTTCTCCAATTATAAACAAATACATTGAGAAAAGTATGAAAATGAGGCATTTATTTTTGTAATAAATACTCTTACACAAAAATATAAAATCACTATTTATATTTTATACACATTAACTTAAAAAAAAAAGACAATTAAACCTAAAAGGCATGAAAATACTATATAAGACATAATTATTTATACATAATAGACATAATTAAAAAAAATATTTTATAATTTTCTGCAGTTATTAGACATAATTATTTAGATATAATTAATGTTGAATTTTATTCCATGTATTTTCTATAACCTTATGTTTTTTATTGTTATTTTTAAAATGAGAGAGATCTTCGTATAAATAAATATACATTTATTTTACTTTTTATTTTATTTTATTGATATTTATTTATCATATATTTAATGCAAAATTAAGTTATAAAACACAACTTCATTTCACAAAATTTATTTCATAAAATATTAATTTATAACAATATATAAAGGCAAAACATTATTTTGGTGTAGCCTTTTTTTTCTTCCAAAGCTATCCCTTGCTATTTTGAAAATTGTAACTGCATACCATTTTGTAATTTATCATTTCAATAGCTACTTAAAAGTTGAAAAAAATATTACATTTTTGTATCTATAGTACACGACACATTAATTTTTGTACTATAGTACACGACACATATCGTATCTATAGTACACGACACATTCATTTTTGTATTATAATTTTTTTAAATATTACATTTAATTTTACAGATAAAGTAATATAATGGAAAATATCCGTAGTCAAGATTTAAGAGAGCGTCAAAGGGAAATACGAGCACAAAATGCAAGAGATAGAAGACAACGGATGAGTGTTGAGCAAAGACAACAAGAATTAGCTAGAAGGCATTCGAATTACAGACAAAATAAAGACAAAGGGAAACAAGTTCAAACATATAATACTTCTAATGTGAGAACCATAATGCCATTTCAAGACTTGACGAATGTCAATCTTGCTTCTCGATTGTTTCCGATGGCACATGACAGTGAAGCTGGACCGAGTAATGCACATGTCAGTCGCATTCCATCCCCGGGTTAGAAACTTTAACTTTTGTTATACATTATACTTTAACACATTAAATTTAAAGAATATTAATTAATTATGAAAAAATGATTGTCTGGTCTATTAATTCAAAACTAAT